CTGCAGGCTCCGGTTGTTCTGAGATAATTTGGCTTGGTGGAAGCAGATAGGTGGAGACAGAATTTGTCAAGGCAAAATATTAAAAAAAATAATTGTTTTGACAATTAATAAAAATATTTTAGTAATAGTAACAATTGTATAGTTGCCAGATGAGATTACTTGTAATTTGACAATTTGTGAAGCACCAATCTCCAGTTACGTCAAATGAATCTAAGGAGTGGCCAGCCCTGGACGGAATTTGTAGTGGTGACAGGAAACCTCAGCCGACAGCCTGTGGTTGAGCCCTGTCACTGCATTTCCTTGTCTCGCTCACTAACAATCCACTGTATTCACCCAGAGTTAACACGAGGGCCCACTGAGGGATCCATGGGGCTCAGTAAATGAACTTCTTTCCCTAGAATAACTTCTGTCTCTGTCCGCAGTCCCTATTCTCCCCTCCGCCTGTTGGTATAACCAGGGCCCAGCGGAAGCCGACCGGGTGGGCACAGCCTCTTCTTAGACAGTCTTTCCTCGATGGTTTTATCCATCGCTCCTCCATTTTTTGCTTTCTAGAAATGTTTTGAAATTTTTTAGTGGTCGATGACTTCCACAATCTCGTGGCTTTTATTGGTTTATTAACAGTCGTATTTCTATGCTTTTATGTAACTGTGGCTTTCAGGAGGAACAGAAAGTGAATATGTTTTCCTAGTTTGCCATCTTGAACTGAAAATCCCTCTTGGTTTTTGCATCCAGGATTCCCATGGGAAAAAAGTCAATCTTGGCATTACAGATTTAACGCTCTGAATTTCATCTTTTCTTGAAAAATTACTAAGGATTTAGGATGTGGTTATTTCTAGGGACAATAGTACCTGTCTCATGGAATAGATGTGAGGATTAAGTTAGATAATGAACATGCTTTATAAAGTTTAAAGGTCTATGCAAATGACTTTTGGTATTATTGTATTTGTTTCCATTTCAATTTTACCTGACAGTTATTTATGACATTGCTTACATGAGAACATGCCTTCTGGCTTACTGTTTCAAAAACCAGGTGACATTTTTCAGTAGCTCAATGGAAATGGCACAGTTTGTGAAGCTTAGGGATAGAGTCATAAATGTTTCTCAGCAGCTATTACTTTATAATATTTTCAGCAACTAATTTACTCATGTATTCCTCCTAAATTTGTTGAGGACCTACAACCAGCTTGATGCTTTGTATCAGGTGTTGGGAAATTTTCTCTAGATTGTATTTTAGGTTTTGTAGGCCATAAACAGTTTCTGTAGCTTCTCCTCCTGTTCCTCTTCCTTTAACAACCTTTCAAAATGTAAGCACCATTGTTACCTTACAGGTCACACAGAAACAGGCTGAGCGCCCTGTCTGAGCTCTGAGCCACTGTTTGCCAGTCCTTGCTCTACACCTTCACTGAGTAGAGGCACATCTTTGAGCAAATCACTTCTCTGAATCAATTGTTGGTCTCTGTGATCTTGTCTTTACTCTCCTGCCTTTAATCAACATGACATCCAGAGAGATCTTGCGGAAGCATAAGTCATCATGTCACTCAGACCTCTTCAAAGCCAAAACCCAAATGCCTCCACAGCCCTGGCAACCTGGGCTTCGCTTCCTTCCTGTCTTCACCTCCCCCTCTCCATTTTGCTGGCTCTGCCCTGCACACACTGACATTCTGTTCCTCGATAGTCCAAGTCCGCTTGCGTCTCCCATCCGACTGTCCCCCCTGCTTGAGACATCATTCCCCAGATAGGCACCTTGCTCTCTCCCACACGTGGCTTCTGTTCCTTCTTTAATTTCACCTTTCCCTTAAAGTCTTGATCACTTAATTGTAAATTGCAACCTCTTCCCACCACCCAACAATCTCCATCTGCCTCCCCTGCCTTCTCGTTCTCTCTAGCACTTACCTGGTGTGCTAGTTATTTTGTCCATTTATTTAATTCTTATTTATATGTTTATACTTACATATTTGCTTATTTGTTTAGTTTTGCCTCTCCTCACCCTCCAACTAGAGGGGATATTCATCTGTGTTGTTCACTCTATATTCCCTGAACATACCTATAAAACATACTGAAGAACAGGGTTTGAAATTTGGTAAGGAATCAATACAATTTTTGACTGAGTAAACAAATATGTGCATGAACTAGCAAACAAATCTTCAGGGGTTCTGAATTGAGGATTGATGAGAAGAGGAAGGCAAATGGTTGGGACCGGGTCTAGAAGAGAAGCACTTGGAGTTCTCAGGTATCTATCCTAATATGTAAGTCTTTGTTACTTACAGTAGTTTTTATGGCAGAGCTAGGAACTAGAGTAGGGACACACTTCATCAAGATTTTTATCGTGAATTCTGTAGAGTTCTTTTTAAGCGTGTAAAATACCACTGAAAATATATGCAGCATATACACCTCTATTTCATGCTTTGCAAGAGCCCCTCAAGGTAGGGATAGCAAGTGTCAGCATCTTTCCTTTGAGAAGCTTAATTTGTTTTAAGGTCGCATCGTAATTTAATTGTCAATGTGAAGCTAGACTCAGAGTTTCTGAGTAGTTCCTCCCTAGAAACCCATGACATTAATAAGACCCCCCAAAATCCATTCACCTTCTGATGATGCACACACTACAAACTCAGTTATGGGTTACCCACTTTAAAGGAGAGAACAAATGATTAAGTTAATACAAACCAAGGGGAATGGTTTTTGTCCTCCATTAGTATTAATGGAAAAAAGTGGCCCCAATACCTTTAAGACAGCTGAGACCATCCTATCTGTGTTAGGGACAGAGGGGTGTTCAGCCAGCATGTCTTTCTCTGATACTCTGAGGAATTCTCATAACATATAATGATATTTATTGAAACAGATTAGGGATATCGGGGGGATTGGGAGTCCTGTAGCATTGTATTTCCAGAAGTCTTGACCACAGTGTGAAGATGGACGCTTTCAGCTATGAAGAATTTGTTTGGATCTTAATTTTCACTGTGAAAGAAATGAGCTTATTGCATCTCTGCAGCCTTTCACCTACTGTTCTCCAATCTCTATTTTGTTTTTGGGAAGCCTTTTAGAAATTAAAAATCAAGACAAAAAGTAAATGACACCTTAAATGAAACAGCATATTTTGTTGGCTTACATGAGCATGCAGAATTAGATATGACCTAGTTCAAATGTTTATTCTATTTTAATGTTTTATGTTAATGTGGAACCTTCCAAGAACCAGAAAATAAGAATCTGTCTATCCTATTTGGAACTGCAGCCCCCTCACATCTTCAGTGACCAGTTCTTCTCATTCCATGGAATCATCTTCAGGTGCTACTGTTTTCTGTGTATTTGGCATGTATCTCATTTTGTGTTAAGAATTTCTCAGATGCCTCTTAATACGCAATGCCCCAGTTCCAACCTTGCCAAGTCCTGTACCAGTTACATAGAACAGAGGGCTTTTATTTCTGCTTATTTTTCTGTGTTCCTCAGAACCCAATGAAAGAACAAAGGGATGACATTGAGGAGATCAGCGTTTTTTATCCCAGATCTACCATAAAATAGTTGGGTCTCCTTGCGAGAATCATATTATTCTGGGTCCCTTTCCTTTTGTTTCTTTTGAGAGAGTTATACTAAATGATCCAAAATAGCATGTGTGCTCTTTGCAGTAATATCTTAGATGTTACTGATTTTCTAAAACTAATGAAGACAGTGACACAGGAGGCTGTGCAACATTTCTGTGTCTGTGTTTTCAGAGCCACCTCTATTTTACAGGTGAAAAGATGACAGAGCAGTGGAAGTATCAGGAATGAACAAAACAGACAAAAGTCCCCCCCTCCTTATTGAGCTTTACATGAGAAATCATCAAAGGAAGGTGAGTGTAATGGGATAAATGATTATTTGATTTAGAAACATGGAAACACAGAATGGGAAAGAAATCAGGTGCTTCAATCAATGACTTGATTAATTCCCAAATCCAATGCCCATCTTGCTAGCTGCCTTATAGAGCCCACATGGACTGCCAAGGGACAACGTGTTACTAACTGGGGAGTATGAATGGGTCCAGGTTATACAGCCTTGGGGAGTAAATCAGGTGGTGCAATGGCTATCATCTGGGAAAACAGGCCTGGGATTACCAGATCCTGACCTGGAACTGATACTCAGATTTCTGTGTGAATCTCTTGATGCGTAAGTTCCAGAAAGTAATTCAAAATTTCCAATAGCACCATTGAGTTAAAGAAACTATGAGTTTGCACCCTTGGTTTTAGGTGGAAGTCCAGCAAAGGCAAAGTCTTGGGGGACAAGTGGCTCCAAATTGTAGTGACTCCAGTGCAGGAAGGAAACTCCCACACCCCTACATCATCCGTGATACTTTGGATACCAGAATGATTTGGGTCATGATTTGGGGTGGCTGCTGCCTCACTGTCTGATTTCAATACCTCTGCAGTCATTTGGTAATTTATTCATTCATCAAACCTCAGGAAACGGCTTCTCTGGCTGAAACACTAGGCTCCTCAGCTTAACAATAGGTCCCACCTGGCCAGCCTTTTAGAGCCTTCCAGTCTAGTGGGACTTTGATTACTGTGAGGTACAGTGCTTCCTGTGATAGTGTGATATCTGTTTTGGATAAGCACAAAATAGATGGTTTTATTAGTCAGAGGATCACTTGGATGCATTTTGGAGGGTGGAAACGGAAAGATGTCACTGAGGTCGTCTGCTGCATCTGGAACATATGTTCGGTGGCTTTGCAGTGTGGGTATTTTCTCGTTCAGAAGAAGGTATTCTGTTTCACGCCTCGTTTCTCATCTTCAACATGTTGACCCTGAAACCCTCTTTCTGCTGTTACGAAAACTTTCCTCTAGGTGGCGCAATTTGCAGCTCACTGCGTCTCCCGGGGCTGGCGGCCTGCCTTCCCATCGCCAAGGCTGCTTTATTCCTGGCCCAGGCGGTTGTCCCCGCATGCTCTGCGCAGAGCAGCCCTTCCCCAGCTCCTGTGAGATCTGCAGGGCTTCAGGCTCACTTCGAACTGGTCTTTCAGGTGACCGTCGTGCGCCTAATCATACTTTTTCCGTTTGCTTTGAGTGGTGGCTTTGGATAACTAACTGCTCCTTCTGAACTCTTCTAACAATCTGTTCTCTATACTGTAGGTTAGCAGTGAGTGCTTCTCATTTCGCACCGTTGTTTATTCTTTTATGCATGTGGACTGTCTGCCTGAAAAGATTATTAAGCCTTTAAGGGCTTTGTGTGCCTCAGGCATCTGGCACGGCATGCTGCCTGGGACTGGCAGGCTGCGAGTGTTTTTTGTTGATGTAGGTTCTGGTATTTTTTTTGTTAATTCGTCACTAACTGAGTATCTGTTCTAGGCTAGACACTCTTTCGAGTGCCCTGAAATCAGTTATGAAAGACAAGGTCCTTGCTCGCAGGCAGCTCCTGGTATTATGAGAGAGAGGAAGAGAGGGACAGAAATCAGGCCCGCCGAGTGGTGTGGTGCCCGCTGTGCGGCAGCCAGGCCAGGTGACTGGGAACAGGACAGGCCTTTCCTTCCCCAGGAGCTCCTTTTACAAGCGTGTGGCCCTTTGCTCTGCCATCTCTCCTAAAGACTGAACTATGCCTTGGACTGTTTTTCTTTCCCAGTATCCGAAGGACAGGGGGATATGGTACCCATTTCAGGATACCATAGAAGAGGTGACTTTCTTCCCATTTGCCTCTGGTGTTCATTCTCCCAGGGTTTTGTGGTTCACTTTTCAGCTATCTAGTCATTACCCTTGAATTCTTAAAACCGCTTACCTCACTGCCCGTCTGAGGTGATTTGGAAATGCTGACTTAACTTTTAAGTGGTGTAGATACATATTTATTGAAAACCTATTCATTCGTTAAGAGGCATCCAAATATTTCCTTTCCTGTGAAGTCTTCTCCAGTTCTCCCTGGCAGAATGAATTATTCCTTTCTTTTTACTTTTATTATTGTTATATGTATCCCAACTTTAATACAAATTGATACCATTTTATCTTTTATTATAGCTGTTCAGAGCATAATGCCTTGAGCCTGTAAGCCTACTGAAGGCAAGGACCATATTGTATTCATCTTAGTTTCCCTCCTGTACTTCTACCTTAGTTATTATAAATAGTAGGCAATGAATAAATGTTTGTTGATTTAATGAATTGGGACTTCGTGATATGATCCATGTTTAGTTGCGTATTTTCTAGTATTTACTTCTAAAACATGGTTAATATCTACATAGATTTTGTTTGCTTAACTTAGGTTGTATGAATGTTTGCTTGGCAAATGTTTTCCAGATATGTATGCAAAGGTTTCTGGGTAGAGCGGGCTCAGACTTGGAAAGTCATGTCCTTACTTTACCCTCTGGATCAGCAGGTTGCACCACAGATATCTCAGAAAACATAAATTTTGAAGAAGGGATTCATAAAATATAATTTACTCTCAAGACCAGTTTCCATTAAAGCAGGAAGCAATCTGAGTTTCATCTCTTGTAGCTGTTAAATAAAACCTGAATGAGCAAGATTTTGGGGGGCCACACTTATCAGTCGAGTATCACAACAGAATAAGCAAACTGCTTCAATCGAAATGGAAAGCAAAATACTAGAATGGAATTTTTGCTGGGGCGATCTTGGTTTTCTCATTTTCCCCTTTTCTTTGCTCCCATATTACTTTGCATTTTCCCACAAGTCATCCATAATTCAGTCTCGGTTTAGAAGGATAAATTCGATGACTTGGCTGTTAAATATCGTGTGCCTTTTCAAAAACAAGAGGAGAGCGCGTGCGAAACAAAACAAAAACCTCGATGGTATGAAAAGTTGGGCGCTCTCAGGAGGCTCTGGAAACTTTAACAGCTTCATTTTTCTGTCGAGGATTTAGATTTCCAGCACCAGGAGCTTTGTGGACGGTTTCGTCAGTGAATCGCCACCACCACCCCGCTGGGACCAGGACAATTGCTCCTCTTCCCTCCGTCTCACTCCACCACCGAACGTGTCTACCTTCATGGGGTCAGGGCGGCGCTTCCGAAGTAGGAACGGGGAAGACCGCGGCAGTGGCCGAAGAGCCCCCCGCGGGGCCGCCCTCCGCTGGGGGCCGGCCGGGGGCCTGAGGGGCCGAGCCCCGACCCCCCCGGGGGCCGAGGCCACCGTGTTCCGGCCCCGGCGCACCGAGGGGCGCTCCCGGGAGCTGGCGGCGCCCGCACAGCTAGGGAGGCTCCCCGCCTCCGCGGCCGGCCTCCCGCGCCGAGCCCGCCGCCGCCGCCTCCCCCGGCTCTGCGCGCAGGTCCGAGAAAGGAGAACGTGCGGGTGTGGCGAGCGGAGGCCGAGCGCTGCGCTGCCGCTCCGTGTCGGGCGGGGAACGAGGAGGGCCGCCGGTCCCTGGGGACGCGGGCGCGGCCGTCTGGGCGACGGCCCGGGGATGCGAGGGCGGGAGGGTGCGCGCGCCCGTGAGCCGGGGGACCGGCGGGCTGCGGCAGGGGCACTTTGGGGGAGTGACTGGGGGCACCAGGGCGCCCTGCCTGAGCGAGGAGGCCAAGGGAGCCCGGCGGATCCACGACGAGCTGGAGCAGCGGCTCCGCAGGGACCCGCGGGACGCCCGCCGGGCGCTCAAGCTGCTGCTGCCCGGTAAGTACAGCCCGGGGCCGGTGCCCCTGTCGCCGGGGCTCCGCCTCCCCCGCCCGCCCCCCACGTGCCCAGGCGCAGCGGCCCTCGGCGGCCCGGAGCCCCGGCTGCTCGCCCCTCCCCTCCCCGGCCGCGCCCCCGGCCACGGCTCGTCCGCGCGCGCAGGGGGTCGGGGCTGCCGTAGTGCCTGGTGCCCCCGAGAGCTGTGCGTTCGGGCTGCGCGTTTCTGTGCTGTGCATCTGCTAAATGGCAGGTATCTCGGGGAGAGGTGTGGGTGGGGAGGTGGGCAGGGGGTCCAACTTGCAGTGTCGGGGCGGCGGCGCGCCCTGGGGTGGTGGAGCGGGGAGCTGCGTGTGGGGCCCGAAGGTGGCGAGCCGAGCCGGGGCGTGCTGGGGGATGGCGTGCGGTAGGGAGGCCTGTGTGCACCCATTATCCGTGCTTTCTGGGGTCAGGAATGAATGGGGGGGCAGACTCGCGACTGGATTCTCCAAGGGGTGGTGATGAGGGAGCCTTGTGGTTGGCTCTCCAAAGAAAGGGGGCCTCTTTTGTCGGTGGGGAGGGATGGATAGTAACATTTAAAATTTTTACAAATTTGTGTTAAAAACGTGATCCCTAGACATCAAGTGATCTTTGCTGCAGCCGCACGTTTGAGTCTGACATAATTAGGGCAGTACCTGCATTATTATTTAGTAAATTCTGTGTACTAAATCTAGATTTGTATGTGTGTATGGGCTTGTGGTTTCACGATTTCTGGAGTCCAGGAGAGAAATAATGGCTAATTTTAACTAGGGAGGGTATTGGGGAAGGGGCTCCCTTGGAGGAACTCCCAATGTACTGCTTTGGGGGAATAGGCTATTTATTTACAAGTAAAAATCTACTTGGATTCCAACCTCTGGGTAACTACTGGTCAGTCACATCACCCTTTTATGTTTATGTGTTCCTTTATAAAAAGATATATAAGATACTCAAAATGATACCCAGAGGAACAAAGGAATTGTTTGTTGCAAACATACTATATGCCAGACATTGTGCTTAATATTTCATTTTAATCCTCAAATTTAAATTAAATTTTAATCCTCAAAATTGTGTGCTTTCGGTGAGATTCGAGACAAGGGAATGGAAGTTCAGTCACTCAACCTGTGACCTTTGACAAATGGTGGTACAAGGATTCAAACCAAACAGGAAAGCCAAAATCCTTCTAATGTTCAAGAACCTGAGTGTGCACCTCTCCCCACCCCTTACATCTCAGGTCTCATAGTCTCCTCTTCTTTCAGGTCTCAAACTCTCCTCCAACCCACAGCCTGCTCTCACCTCAGGGCCTTTGCACTGGCTTTTCCTGCAACCTGCAACCTGCTCCCCCATATCTAAATGGTTCGTCCCTTAACCTCACATCTGGACTCAAATGTTACCTCAGTGAGGTTTCTCCTGATGATACTATTTAAAACCACAACCCACTCCTCACTCCACACTCCAGTCTTTCTTACCCCACTGTTTTATTTTCCTGTAGCATTTTCTACCCTTTAATGCCATCTTTATTGTCTGATCCCCTCATTAGAATGTATGCTCCACTGAGAGAGTTTTGTCTGCTCTGTTCCTTGACTGCTTCAGCAACTAGAGCTGTGTGTGCCTAGCCCTTAGTAGGAGCTCCTTAAGGACTTGCTGATAATAAATGAAAGAGATGACACCGAAGCCTGTGATCTTTCCTCAGTGGCCCCAGCAGTGAGCCTCTGGAGATATTTTTAAATATTAGTCTAAATATCTCCTCCTGCTCCCTAGTTTCTCCATCTCACGAAACAGTGGGGAGCAAATCCTCCCCTCAACTGGCTTGTGCTTATGTGATGACCTGGGGGCAGGACATTTTTTGCCCCAGACCCTTGGGCATTTCTATTGCATGTGGGGTCATGGATAGGTCAGGTGTGTGTGTGTGTGTGTGTGTGTGTGTGTGTGCGCGTGTGTGTGTGTTCGTGTGTGTGTGTGTTCGTTCCCTACATCTGCCTTTCTAATTCCCCTTAAAGGAGAGTGTAACTCTGTGCTCGCCACCCATAAGCTTGGTGAGTAAGCCATGGTGCTGGGTGAGCATGGAAACTAAGGATCTAGGAGGAAGGAAAGGAGCCCCGGCCTCCTCTGCCCCCCTGTCGCTCCCTAGACCCGAAGAAGGGATCTGTGCTCCATTTGGCATTTGCAGTCTTGAGGGATGGAAAGTAAATCTGAGCTTGGATTACATTTCTAGACGGTTAAAATTCAGAATTTCATAATGAACAGTCACAAGGCTTAATGGATTTTGTGCTTTGCTCTTACTCTTGGATATTTGTTGAAATTCAACATGGAACTAATTCATCTTTGAAAGTCACCTTAAACTTTCTGATAACCCATAAGCCTGTTGGAAGAAAAGCAGTGACAGAAAACAGGTTATTATTTCATTGGTGTAGTTCTTTTTAGGCCTGAAATGAACTCAATTTTTTCACTTTATTAAAAATATTTTTTCTGCCAACTCAGTATGTAAGGAGAATAAGTGGATATGAAACCTTGAAAACAGTTAAATAAACAACTTTTTTAGTGTACAAGCTATCTCCTCCCAAACTCGATGTGTGTGTGTATGTATGATTACATTCTAGAAGGAAATTTGGTAGGTTATTATTTCTGACCTGCAATATTCAGGGATTTTTGCTTTCTGTATATTTCTGCATATATTTCAAATTTTCTGCTGTAAATGTGTATTAGTTTTCTAACCACAAGAACAA